GATGTTGAAAGAATTAAAAGCAGGTAATGTTCGTACATATTTTTATTTGTTGAAACTCGTGAAGATCTGGGTTAGAATAGGTCTTCGGCAACCCATGCTTGCCATAAGAGGCAACTATGTTCATAATAGGCGACAAACAAGATCAAGTGGTCAGGCTAGCTGACTTAGTTGATGCATGTCATAGTATCCTGATTGCATAGATCGATGCTCATGATGTCAATCACTGGATTGTCTGGCCCAGACTCCCATCACATAGCTGGAATATTGCCGAGTGCGGCGTTAAACATCAAACAAACAAAGCTGGGACAGACAAAAATTGGGGGGGGATTGGGGGGGGGGGAAGAGACTGGTAGTTTTGAAAAGCCAGCAGGTACACCAAGTCATAGGGCAGGAATGTTGCGAAAAGTGGCATTAAACCTGACTTGTTTACTCATCTGAATCTTTGTGAGCGGAAATGTATCTTTAGGATTATGAATGACAGATTAATGCTCAACAATAGACAATGTCCACATGACTTACTACCCGTGAAGATTCCGGGGTAGAATAGGTCTTCAGCAACCCATGCTTGCCATAAAAGGTGACTATGCTTGTTGTAAAAGGGATCGGGTGGTCAGGCTTGCTGACTTGGTTGATGCATGTCATCGATCCCAATTGCGTGGGTCGATGCTTATGATGTCAATCACTAGATTGTCTGGTCCAGACTAAATTATTTACAGACTGCTGTCATATAGCTGGAATATTGCTGAGTGCGGCGTTAAACAACAAACCAACCAACCAACCAACATAAGCCGTTCTAGCAATTCATGAAGTATTCTTCAAGTATCCTTTTGAAAAGTCAAGTATTATCCAAGTATCCTTTCAGAAGTGAAGTACCGGTATTTCTCAAGTCCTGCATGAGCGTTCTCATCTCAACAATGCAACTCTCCTCCATGAACTGACTGATGAAGGGTTAGACTCTAACACAAGTCCCCTAGTGAAGGACTAGTAGAAGGGAATAGGTCTTTTCAACCAAGTCGGCGAGCCTGACCACCCAATCCCATTAGTCGCCTCTTAAGACAAGCATAGTCGTAAGAAGTGACATGCAATGGGATTCAACAAAATATGTCTGTCTCTCTCTAAGTGAGGAGTAATGGCGATTGATGCTGTGTTCAATATTATCACACTTAAAAAGTGATGTGGATGTGGTATGGACGCAGTGCTTAATAAAAGAAGAAGGGATTCACATATCTGGAAATTTGTTTTACATCTTTATCCGGACGGTATCACAAGAGTCCACTTAAGGGGGGCACCACAGTGATGCTACTCATACTGTAGGGGACCCAAGTATTGCAGTATGTATCGATATGTGAGGTGGGTGTATGAAGTATTGCCGTATGTATCGATATGTGAGGTGGGTGTATGAAGTATTGCGATATGTATCGATATGTGAGGTGGGCGGATGAAGTATTGTGATATGTATCGATATGTGAGGTGGGCGTATCAAGTATTGTGATATGTATCGATATGTGAGGTGGGTGTATGAAGTATTGCCGTATGTGAGTGAGTAAGTGAGTATGATTTTACGCCGCTTTTAGCAATATTCCAGCAATATCACGTCGGGGGACACCAGAAATGGGCTTCACACATTGTACCCATGTCGGGAATCAAACCCAGGTCTTCGGCTCGACAAGCGAACGCTTTAACCACTAGGCTACCTGACCGCCCTTGCTGTATGTATGGATACGTGAGGTGGGCGGATGAAGTATTGCGATGTGTATCGATATGTGAGGTGGGTGTATGAGGTATCGCGGTATGTATCGATATGGGAGGCGGGTGTATGAAGTATTGCGGTATGTATCGATATGGGAGGCGGGTGTATGAAGTATTGCCGTATGTATCGATGTGTGAGGTGGGTGTATGAAGTATTGCCGTATGTATCGATATGTGAGGTGGGCGGATGAAGTACTGTGATATGTATCGATATGTGAGGTGGGTGTATGAAGTACTGTGATATGTATCGATATGTGAGGTGGGTGTATGAAGTACTGTGATATGTATCGATATGTGAGGTGGGTGTATGAAGTATTGCGGTATGTATCGATATGTGAGGTGGGTGTATGAAGTATTGCCGTATGTATCGATATGTGAGGTGGGTGTATGAAGTACTGTGATATGTATCGATATGTGAGGTGGGTGTATGAAGTACTGTGATATGTATCGATATGTGAGGCGGGTGTATGAAGTATTGTCGTATGTATCGATATGTGAGGTGGGTGTATGAAGTATTGCCGTATGTATCGATATGTGAGGTGGGTGTATGAAGTATTGCAGTATGTATCGATATGTGAGGTGGGTGTATGAAGTACTGTGATATGTATCGATATGTGAGGTGGGTGTATGAAGTATTGTGATATGTATCCATACGTGAGGTGGGCGGATGAAGTATTGCGATATGTATCGATATGTGAGGCGGGTGTATGAAGTATTGCAGTATGTATCGATGTGTGAGGTGGGTGTATGAAGTATTGTGATATGTATCGATATGTGAGGTGGGTGTATGAAGTATTGCAGTATGTATCGATATGTGAGGTGGGTGTATGAAGTATTGTGATATGTATCCATACGTGAGGTGGGCGGATGAAGTATTGCGATATGTATCGATATGTGAGGCGGGTGTATGAAGTATTGCAGTATGTATCGATGTGTGAGGTGGGTGTATGAAGTACTGTGATATGTATCGATATGTGAGGTGGGTGTATGAAGTATTGCAGTATGTATCGATGTGTGAGGTGGGTGTATGAAGTACTGTGATATGTATCGATATGTGAGGCGGGTGTATGAAGTATTGCAGTATGTATCGATGTGTGAGGTGGGTGTATGAAGTACTGTGATATGTATCGATATGTGAGGCGGGTGTATGAAGTATTGTCGTATGTATCGACATGTGAGGTGGGTGTATGAAGTATTGTCGTATGTATCGATATGTGAGGTGGGTGTATGAAGTATTGCAGTATGTATCGATATGTGAGGTGGGTGTATGAAGTACTGTGATATGTATCGATATGTGAGGCGGGTGTATGAAGTATTGTCGTATGTATCGATATGTGAGGCGGGTGTATGAAGTATTGCCGTATGTATCGATATGTGAGGTGGGTGTATGAAGTACTGTGATATGTATCCATACGTGAGGTGGGCGGATGAAGTATTGCGATATGTATCGATATGTGAGGCGGGTGTATGAAGTATTGCAGTATGTATCGATGTGTGAGGTGGGTGTATGAAGTATTGTGATATGTATCGATATGTGAGGTGGGTGTATGAAGTATTGCGGTATGTATCGATATGGGAGGCGGGTGTATGAAGTATTGCGGTATGTATCGATATGTGAGGTGGGTGTATGAAGTATTGCGGTATGTATCGATATGTGAGGTGGGTGTATGAAGTATTGCGGTATGTATCGATATGTAAGGTGGGTGTATGAAGTATTGCGATATGTATCGATATGTGAGGCGGGTGTATGAAGTATTGCAGTATGTATCGATATGTGAGGTGGGTGTATGAAGTACTGTGATATGTATCGATATGTGAGGCGGGTGTATGAAGTATTGTGATATGTATCGATATGTGAGGTGGGTGTATGAAGTATTGCGATATGTATGGATATGTGAGGCGGGTGTATGAAGTATTGCCGTATGTATCGATATGTGAGGTGGGTGTATGAAGTATTGCCGTATGTATCGATATGTGAGGTGGGTGTATGAAGTATTGCGATATGTATCGATATGTGAGGCGGGTGTATGAAGTATTGCAGTATGTATCGATATGTGAGGTGGGTGTATGAAGTACTGCGATATGTATCGATACGTGAGGTGGGTGTATGAAGTATTGTGATATGTATCGATATGTGAGGTGGGTGTATGAAGTATTGCGATATGTATCGATATGTGAGGCGGGTGTATGAAGTATTGCGGTATGTATCGATATGTGAGGTGGGTGTATGAAGTATTGCCGTATGTATCGATATGTGAGGCGGGTGTATGAAGTATTGCGGTATGTATCGATATTTAAGGTGGGTGTATGAAGTATTGCGATATGTATCGATATGTGAGGCGGGTGTATGAAGTATTGCAGTATGTATCGATATGTGAGGTGGGTGTATGAAGTACTGTGATATGTATCGATATGTGAGGTGGGTGTATGAAGTATTGTGATATGTATCGATATGTGAGGTGGGTGTATGAGTGAGTGAGTGAGTGAGTATGGTTTTACGCCGCTTTTAGCAATATTCCAGCAATATCACGGCAGGGGACACCAGAAATGGGCTTCACACATTGTACCCATGTCGGGAATCGAACCCGGGTCTTCGGCGTGACGAGCGAACGCTTTAAACACTAGGCTACCCGACCGCCCCGGTGGGTGTATGAAGTATTGCGATATGTATCGATATGTGAGGCGGGTGTATGAAGTATTGCCGTATGTATCGATATGTGAGGTGGGTGTATGAAGTATTGCCGTATGTATCGATATGTGAGGTGGGTGTATGAAGTATTGCGATATGTATTGATATGTGAGGCGGGTGTATGAAGTATTGCAGTATGTATCGATATGTGAGGTGGGTGTATGAAGTACTGCGATATGTATCGATACGTGAGGTGGGTGTATGAAGTACTGCGATATGTATCGATATGTGAGGCGGGTGTATGAAGTATTGCCGTATGTATCGATATGTGAGGTGGGTGTATGAAGTATTGTCGTATGTGAGTGAGTAAGTGAGTATGGTTTTACGCCGCTTTTAGCAATATTCCAGCAATATCACGGCGGGGGACACCAGAAATGGGCTTCACACATTGTACCCATGTTGGGAATCAAACCCGGGTCTTCGGCATGACGAGCGAACGCTTTAACCACTAGGCTACCCGACCGCCCTTGCTGTATGTATGGATACGTGAGGTGGGCGTATGAAGCCGCCATCACCAAACAATCCTCCATTATGGATACATTGAGTGACAACAAACAAACAGTTTATCAAAAGCAGGTGTTTATGTTCGATACATATGTGAAAACAATACATAAAATGTGACAGTAAAAAAAGAGCTCACTAACGTAACAGAATTAAACAAGCATGTGGCTACTCTTGGCGTGAAGAGATCAAAAATGAAGTAAATCGCTGAAAACTAAAGAGAAGCCGTTTGATCCAGTCATGCTGTCATGTGTTGAAATCTGAAACAAATATACAGACATTTAACAATAGATAGGACAAGTCTTTGATTATTCCTAGACAACAAACAAGACAACACATCCTTCAACAGAAGCCTCAAATGCATAGGTTCTCAAAAAGTGAGGTGAAATTGGGTTTAATGTCGCGTCCAAGATTATTGCACTTATATAGCAAAGTGCAAGCACATGTTTGCGTGGCTGCTTGTACTAGTCCGGACTGATGCCGATTTATAGTGCTAGCTCACTGAGATACCATGCCGCAGTTTAACATTAATTCCCACTCAGACACAGTATACTGACTCCAAGCCGACCAGTCCTCGTTTTAGACCCTTTATGCCAGGCGCCAGACAGGGTAACAACAAGTTCCATCTTTCAACGTCTTTTGGTATGACGCGGCCGGAGATCGAACCCCGGACCTTCCGCTCTCAGGGCGGACGCTCTACCACAAGACCACGGAGGAGGCCTAGGTTCTCAAAAACCATGTGACAGAACCAAAGATGCCTGCTGTTTCCACCAAATGAGCATTCCTAATTTTGTATTTTATTTATTGTACCTCCATAAAAAGGCATCATATGCGAACTGATCAATTTCTTTACATATGAATCGAACTAAACCAACCTCATGGAGATTCCTGGCAGAAATGCTCTCCTCAGTAACTTATTCTGACTTTTAGAGACGACCAATGGATTGGGTGGTCAGGTTTGGCGACCAATGGATTGGGTGGTCAGGTTTGGCGACCAATGGATTGGGTGGTCAGATTTGGCGACCAATGGATTGGGTGGTCAGGTTTGGCGACCAATGGATTGGGTGGTCAGGTTTGGAGACTTTGTTGATTGCATGTCATTGTACCCTGACAGAGTTGATCGTTGCTCACAATATCAATCACTGGATTGAACATTGTTAACAGAATGTCGTGGTTGTTTGTTGTCTAACGCCAAACTCTGCAATACACCAGCTATATGACGGTGGTCTGTAAATAATTGTGATTGGTATCATGAGCATCAATCTATGCAACTGGGATACAAGGGCATGCATCAACCAAGTCAGAAACCTGACCACCCAATCCCGTCAGTGGCCTCTTACGACAAGCATGAGTTGCTTAAGATCGGTTCTAACCTGGATCTTCACAGGGGTCAGAATGAAGTGAAACAGTTTGTCAAATATTAATCAAATGGAATAAGCAACTTTCAACATGATAAATGCTGCATGCTTTAGAATTTCTGCATGAACATTTAAAAAAAAGAAAGATATTTATTGTATTTTACATTGCAAGAAAACTCAAGATAAAACACAACAAGACATAATGACTTACAATTTCAGTTGTATTTCCCCTTCAGCTCTTCCACTTTAGCTACATACTGCACCCGGGCCTCAGCTTGAGCAATTCCTGAAACAATAATAATAATAATAATAATAATAATAATAATAATGCAATCAGCAAGGTAGGGCTTCAAGTCATATTTCTATGTATTGGATTAATCTGTTTAACATACACGAAGGTCCATTTTGAGGGTCTACATTTGGCAATACTGAAAACAAAACCATGCCAAATTGTTCCTGGGTTTACGTCACTCCAAACACAATGTATGCTTGAAGCATTGCATTATCTTTACCCTAGTCAATGGATCAGTGTGCAAGTTTTATACCCAGCTCCCTGGGGTGCATACAACCCAAGCTACCTGTAAGGCGCTAGAAGGTTTACAGCCACATTACCATATCACCCTACCGGGTACCCATTCAATGCTGGGTGAACCGAGGCATATCTGGAAGAAAGTCACATGGCCAAGGAGACACCACATGTGCTTCAGTGTGTGGCACGACCAAGGCCCCAGGTCTCTCAGGGGTCAAGCAGCTGCACGGCCCATATCATGATTATCATTTTATTTATTTTTAAAAAGAGAAAAAAAAGGCACCAGTTCACCACAAGACCTATCTATGTGCCAAGTTTGGTAAGGCAATATTGCATGTTTTTCAAAATATGCTCCGTAAATGAGCACTACCCCCATTGTCAATCTAAGTCAAATTTGTTGCTGTGGAAACTCGAAATATTAATTACTAAAAATCCCAAATCAGTAATAGGCACCAGTTCACCACTAGACCTATCTATGTGCGAAGTTTGGTGTAGAAAAATTGTACGGTTTCAAGATCTGCTCCGGGAGCAACATCTTACATGAACAGACGGACTGACACACAGAGAGTGTCCATTTTAATAAGGGATGCGCATCCAAGAGTAAAGGAACTCTAACGGCTGGTGTTTCCAGGTGCTGGAGCACATACCTTTCTTGCTGTCCCAGGCATCCCACTTGGCTTTTCCTTTCAAGTCCAACATGCCAGGTCGGTCTGCAATAAACAGATTTCTGGATCAAACAAAATCAAGGTTTAACATTCCACTCAAGCTAGTGACGTCATATAAAATAAATAGTGACGTGCATGCACATGTGTGTGGCTGCTTGTACTAGTCGGGACTCTTGCTGTGGTGTGCTAGTCGAATGAGATACCATGCCACAGTTTAACATAGATACCCCACTCAGACACAGTATACTCCGAGGCAACCAGTCCTTGTTTTAGCCCCTTAAACATGTTAAATGTAGGACTTACGGACCCCCTTTTAAAATCTCTAATAATCTACAAATTACTATAGATTTTAAAATCCCATATGATAATATCTTCCTTAATCACTTACTTTAAAGAGTGAGTGAGTATGGTGTTATGCCCATGTTAGCAATATTCCAGCAATATGATTTTGTTTGTTTGTTTGTTTGTTGTTTAACGCTGCACTCAGCAATATTCCAGCTATATTATTTTATATGACTGTGGTCTGTAAATAATCGAGTCTGGACCAGACAATCCAGTGATTGACATCATGAGCATCGATCCACGCAATTGGGATACAATGACATGCATCAACCAAGTCAGCGAGCCTGACCCCCCCAATCCTGTTTGTCGCCTCTTACAGCAAGCATAAGTTCCTCCAGACGTATTCTACCCCAGATCTTCAAGGGTCCCAGCAATATGAAGGCAAGGGACAACAGAAATGGGTTTCACATATTGAACCCATGTGGAGAATAAACTTTGAAGAAGCATAGCAAATCAGGCACCAGTTCAGGTTTTGGAAAACAAGATGGCGGCTCCCAACATGCGCAAACACACATTTATGACGACAGGTAGTTTTACTAGAAATGTCTACTAAATTAACAATTTACTGCCACAGAATGTAAACATTTATTAAGATTACAATGGTTATAGTGGACAATGAGAAGGCGGAAAATTTTATCCCAAAACAAGGCATAGAAAAATGAAATAATCTCACTATCTTTAAATCTGAATCATGAATAGCCAGTGTTTCCATTTACAGGTAAATAACAGTTTTATTAGGCTTGGCCTGGTAATTCATGTGACTGCCAGTCCCTGGCGACTGGCAAATAAAGTACATTATAAATCTTAAATCGGTGATATTCATAAAAGTTTATTTTTCGAATGATAAGGTTTCCTCTTGTCTATTTTTAGTGCAAGGAAAAAACATTTTGATTTGCTTTGAGGTTAAATATATACTTGTAGCGACTTAGTCTCGAAATATTGAAAAACAAAAGAGAAAATTGCGACTGAACTATTTAGTGAATGATGTGTAGATCTAACTAAGTTACTTCAGAGATGACGTCATTGCATTGATGTTAAGAGATATTAAAAGAATTAAAACCTGGTAATTTTTTCATACCTCTTTTTATTTGTTGGAAGTTGGGACAGACAAAAATTAGGGGGGACAGGTCATTTTTTGCCAGTCCTAGTGGAAAGGCAGTTTCAAACGCCAGCAGAAACACTGAGTACCACACATTATCGTATTCTTCAGTGAGGTCATGCACTTTCGAAGCAGATAACAATGTTGAGTTGGCGAATGTGTCATAGCTTGAATATCCCTAATCCCACCACTGCTCAGCAATGCGCAGTATCTGTGACATTTCTACTGACAAACTCATCCTGGAAAATTACCAAACTGAGTTTGACTTTGGACCCTTCCACACGGTCAAGCAGGCTTGTTTATCTAGTTGCCAAGTGTAGAATCTATCGCAACAATAGTTGATCAACGTGTTCAATATAGCTACATGACCGTACAAACGTAGGCAGCTGGTTATCTACGAGTATCTCATACAGAGATACACACCCGCAAATTTTGATCACTAAGCTCTCGTGGCCAGTTTCTCAGGGGCTTGTATCAAAACCTTTGCTTGGCAATTACTAGTAACTGTGCTGGTCCTCGCTCTGAATAAGCCACACCCCTCAGTGAAATTAAGCACACAGTCGAGGGGTCTTGGTCATAACCCTAACCTTTCAGATTTGGAGGACCATAGTTTAGACAGCAGCAAACCTCAAATGCCACTCTAAATTTCAAACACTGCATCTGCTCATATTAAAGTAATTCAATCAATGATAAGGCACCTAAACTGACAGTGAGTGAGTGAGTGAGTATGGTTTTACCATGCTTTTAGCAATATTCCAGCAATATCACGGCGGGGGACACCAGATATGGGCTTCACACATTGTACTCATGTCGGGAATCGAACCCGGGTCTTCGACGTGACGAGTGAACGCTTTAACCACTAGGCTACCCGACCGCCCCCCTAAACTGCCAGCCAAAAGAAAGTATACCCCCATGTTTGATGGTTGCTAAAACTGACACAAACAAGGAACGGTTATTCGACCGGGACGTATTTGATACCGGTATCATAGTTGTGTTTTGGACCTTAAGCTCACAGTTTTTTGGCGACTGTTTTCAGCCTAGTATTGTTTGGATAACATTTGTAATTTATTGGTAAAATCCATTTTCAAGAGTATACTTTATTTTGCCTGACAGTTTATGCAAAGACAGAGCCCTCTTTATCATGTTAGGAAGGTATGCTTAAGGCATGAACTAGGGCTGCAACAAATACACTATGAGGTGAATACGATTCATATCACGAATATAGGGTAACGAATAGGAATATTTATTCACGAATACAGTAACAAGAAAGCAGTTGATTTACAATTTATTATATTCAATGAAAAATAACAACATTACCTATTTGACATGGATGGTTAATTATTAATATATTATACATTCATATACCATGTATACTGCATTTATCCAGGTACTAGTATCTGCCCAAATGCCACAATGACCAAATTATATATATGAGTGTTGTCAAGAAATCTCTGCATATGATATGTTCTTAGGGATTTTTTTTAGGTACAGCCAGGGTATGTAGATGCACATGACTGCATATTCATAAATATTCGATTCTAGTGACCACGAATAACAAATTCAATTCATGAATGGATACAGTTCGATTCACCGAATACACGAGTGAATCGTAACAGCCCTAGTATGAACATCAAATAAGTTTTATTTCTTAATGAAAGAATGTTGATCACAACTGCTACAGAAATCACTTAACATCGTGTTTATAAAAATTACGATAAAATATAAATTATAGATTCGAGTTTAAGATACTGCTTATGGATCAATATTCCTTCAAATAGAACCTAGTCATTTCCATGATTAAAGTCAAGATTAACATGTGCTCTGCCTACAGGATGGCTTTTAGAGTTTGATACGGACCCCGTGTCCAAGTCAGGGCCGTCACACTTTCAGGACAAGCTGACTTGGATGTTGTAAGGGCAAGCTTGGTTACTATCAGTTCAAGGCCATTCCATGATAACTGTACGTGGACATTACATGCAATAACTAGTTCTCTTCTGTTGGTTGCCTTTGTTACCATGGTTACATCCCTATTTGCAGCATTTTACCATACAATATTGTGTCCTGAACTCATAAAAATTAAGAATGAATGCAAATAATATCACCTTGCTCCCATTGGATGCAAACGAGTATGGCTGTTGGAATGTTTGAAACATTTCAATTGAAGAATACAACATGTAAATTAATTAGAATCTGATATTATTATTATTTTGTATCATTTCCTGATGGTGCCGAGGTTACACTTGGACCCCCATTTTTGATGCCCAAGTCCTCAAAAACTATCTAGAACCCCACAGACTTGGAAATATAAAAAGAAAGATAAATCTCTGTATTTGGTAATCATTAAGTCAATAGACAGTGCCGGTGTGTAAAATGTGTCCTTCTTTAGTCAATAGACATTTTTTCTTGTGATCATCATGTTCACAGCATACGCCATCTGTCAGTAGTTTCTTAATATCCTATTAAGTGCAACATATATATATTATTGTGTATTATTATAAGTAACAATGTCCCAAACTTCAAGTTCAAATGCTAAAATTAGTAATATCATTTTTTGCTGTAATATTTTCTATCTTTCAAGATTAAATAGCAAACAAAACTTAGCCTATATTCAAACTCGTATCATTTATTGACAATATAAATTTGATGTTGTTAGTAAGTAACGCATCTGTTCAAACACAGTTAGTAGCAATATGTGTTTTGTGTGATCCAACGGAGAGTCAGGTTCCTTTAAAATCACACAAGACATAGTTTTACGTGTATAATATTGCAATGTAATAACCATGATAACATCCGTCAGCAGAGACAGTATCATATGAACACTATCCACCACACAAAATTGCAAATATACTGAATAATTTTTTTTGCGATCATGAATTTTTTAGGGGATAATGCTTGACGAGAACACTGAGAACACAAATTAAGGTATAATCATGATAATGAATAACAAAACTAGTTTTCTTTGCAATGTGAACATCAGAAATATTGGCTAGGGTGTATACAAAGTTCACCAAGGGTTCATCAGCGTTTGTGGTGTTCATCAGTTAAAAGCGTACACTAGGCACCAAACTTGTGGCGAACATGTTCAAAACTGACAATTTGTGTGCAAGTACAAGGGTATCTTTGTCCTTGACCTCAGCAGATGCAGCCTATCGCATGATTCAGAATGAGTATTGACACGATTCAGAAACATGTCAGCGTGAACTGAACATGCAGAAAGAACATGTCATCAGTGCACCCTACTTCTGAACTGGCACTCGCAAATACTGACCAGCTTTAGCCCATATACACCATTTCACACAGTTTTCTAAGACTCTCCTAAAGCAGAGGCTGACAGCATCAGCGTTCCAAATGTATTTTTTGTTAGGATGTTTCTGATTGGCTGTAGTATTTATGTGTGTTGGTAGACAACACTATACGCTTGTCGATTCTATATCTGTCTTATATATCAGTCAGCAAATATACTGCAAAGACACTTGGAATTCACACAAACTTTTAGTTAAACATATCTCTTGTCATTTGAAGGAAACGTAACAAAATTTGTTATTGACGTCTATCCTCAAGACCATGGAAGCAGTCAACAGTCTAACATACATTCATCTCTATCCTTAAGACCACGGAAATGCCGATTTATAGCGCTAGCCCACTGAGATCCAATGCCACAGTTTTAACATGAATACCTCACTCAGACACAGTATACTGACTCCAAGCCAACCAGTCCTTGTTTAAGCCCCTTAATGCCGAGCACCAGGCAGGGAAATAACAAGTACCATCTTTTAAAGTCTTTTTGGTATGATGCAGCTGGGGAGCAAACCCGTACCTTCCGCACTCCAGACAGATGCTGTTACGTGGTATGCAGTCTTGTGACAATGTCAGCATATGTCAGCCCAAGCTCCTTCTTTACACTCTCGGTAACATCGCTGTCACCAGTGTGGGCGCGGCCATTTCAAGAATCTTAAAATTTACCCCATATGTAGTAACGTTTATACTTTTGTTTGTCTTTGGGAATGCCATCATATTTCAATTTGAAAAGGTTTACGACTGACCATGTTTTCCAGATGAATTTACTTTGTTGTTTTGATAATCAGACTGGTTCGAGATTGCAGACTAATGGAAAATCAACCAACTTCTCCCTTACATTCTTACTATATCAATAACACGATAGTTTTAATGAAACAGAAATTCAAATTGACAAACAAAGGAATTTATTTAGCAGCGATAAGTGTATTCGGCGTCACGACAGTCGTCACTTGTTTGTAAACATAACGGTTGCGAGTTTAACTCCAGGCATGGTTGTGGCCACCTATTCACAGTGAGGAGTTTTGACTGGTGGCAGCGATAGTATAGAGAGCTCCGCGAACGGGCTATCGCTGTGAGGAGCTTGATGTCAGCCATGCAAGTTCTAATAAACGCTGATGCTCTAATCTGAGTTGGCTATGACTATCCAGACATGTGCACAGCATACACAGCACGTAACATGCTCTACCACCAGACCACGGAGGTGGTCTTACTACTTGTAAACATCTGGAAGCAATTAATGATACTGGCAACTGTTTATCATTAACTCAACCTGAATGTCAAACAAACCAATTACTGAACAGTCAATTTCGATCTAATTTAGGCCTACCTGTATTGCAATCACCAACTGTTGCTTGTTTGAATAGTGAATAGATCTCCAACATTTCGGAATCTGACGGTTTGGTCTTCAAGTTTTTTACTTCTTCAGCCGCCGTGTTGAATGCCTGTTGGATAATACAGAATGCAATTTCTAAGGCAAAAATAATTAATTTGAAACACTTGTGTGGTGCTAATAGTAGTAAAACAATACTCATTCAACAATAGGGACAGGTATTGGAGGTCTACAGTGTATCACAATATTTTGCGATACACAAGGCTGTATTGCAATATGTATCACGCTACATTGTATAATTCTAAATTTTAAATTCACAAGCTCACTCGCACCACACTGCAATATGTGGTTCATCAATTTTGTCGTCTGTTTTCCGAAGTTTGACGTTCACATTTGAAACAACTGACCAGACCGCCATCTTGGTGCCCCAGATGTTCACGAGGGAAGAATTAACCTCTATCTTTGCGAACTTGCATTTTAAAATTAAAAAACGATATTGTGATGCATATTGTGGAAAGGAGTGAGTGAGTGAGTTGGGTTTAACGCCACTTTTAACAGTATTCCAGTTATATCACGGTGTGTCAGCTAAATGTAGGTTGAAAGCCCGAAGTGATGCAGGTCTCAGACGTTAACCACTTCGGTGAAACTCACGAGCCAGGTATGGTGCTGACAAACCTAGAAAAATAATGGGGGCGAACCGGGATTGAAATGCTATTAACAACACATTTTGAGATATTTGACTGACAAAAAGGGGTGTGGACATTATTCAAGTTGGAAGTAATTTATTTTAGCAAGTGTGTTGTCTTACAGAAAAAAAACATATTATGCTATCGTCGCATCAAAACTCATGATGCACAGGTGCACCGATTAACCGTTTCGCCTCTGAAAAATACATATCTTATATCAGATATAATCAGCAGACTTATTTGCTCTTTAACATTGATTCATAAGGAGTGTTAAACATGTTAAATGAGATAAAAAAAATAATTGCAACGTTGATCAATATACCTCTCATCAACCACACACCCCACCCCTAAAAAGCATTTGCCAAACGAAATCACAGTCAAGCTTATAACTATTACTGTCATTTCCAAATTAGTTCCAGACAACTAGCAAACAATCCCATCAACTGTTATTATCTAGGCCCTACTTTGTTCGTGTTCATTATTAAAGAATACGACCAATACGAAAAATGTAGGTCACACCTAAACAAGACCTATAGATCATGTTGACGATAGATCACACATACATTCTCCGGATCTGATTATGGCTGTGAAGAATATGGATATGTGACTCACTAGGGCGCACTCTCAGACTTCTATACATTTTGGCCTATGCTGAACAGCCTTTCTACCTGCAGTCTCGAGAAATGAAACTAAAGTGCACTTTACAGTCGTCTATCCGTGTCGCAACACAACGAAAGACAATGCTGCTAGATCTAATAACAATTTGCTCTTGATATACTCACTGCTTCGTCTGCCATTGTGTAGGAATGAGAACAGTTACTATGGCCCACGTGCACTATGCTCTAACACTGAATGATGAATGGCGTGACGCTTTGGTTACAGCCTGTGGACTTTGGAGCATTACCTCCCTTTGGTCATTGATTGTCAAGCTCCTCACGCCGATAGCCCCTTCGAGAGTGTAACGAAGGTGTCACGCGCTGAGAAGGAGCTTGATTCATTCGTCCCCACTCGGCCCTTTCCGTAACCTGCAAGAAGAGGCTTGTCCCGGAATAACCCGAGTTGGTCACGATGGTCTAACCATTGTCAACAGGGGGCGCTGGGATAACCAATCACACACTACAGACTGTAGACTGGTTTGCCCGCCCTTGCACTCGTAGCGGTACTATATGCTTTGGGCAGCCGCTTGACAAGTTCTCAGTGTGTGACGCTCGGAGAGCACCGCGAACGCCTCTACGCTGTGAGGAGCTGGATTGTTTGAGGTTACATTCTTTGTACTTCCTCACAAGAGCTACGAACTTGAGAAGATAAATTTACAAAATATATGCCAACTGACAAACGTTATATAATAATGTTACAATTTGAAAAAAATGATGATGTGAATTATAAGGTCAATGTTAAGGAAATAGATCGTATCTATGCCAATTTAGCTTTATTTGAGTATTTTGGAATTAACACACATCTAGATCTTTGTGTGACTGGGTTTTTTCGGTTCATTGGTTAAAATGGTAAAACTTAAGGAGAGGTTTAGTACTATGTTTAAGTTTAACATTTGCTTCAAATGTAATTCGTAAGTAATTATATCTATCCGCAACTAGTATTTTTGTATCACCCACGGTCCAAGTATTCTTTTCTTCTTATTTACCTGATTTGCTAAACACTTCAGTTTTCACTTCATAAGAAATATCATTTTATAGTGATGATATTATTTTTAATACATTTCCTGAGATTTTATTTGATAATATCTCAGTTAGGAGTAGGATCTGTCAACTGAATCCAAGGTCTTCTGAAAGTCTACAAAGCAAGTGTATATAGTCTTTTCTTTTTACTTTTTTTTGAAGAATATGTTAATGTTTGAAGAACTAATTCATTATCTGATGTTCGGTAACCCCTTCTAAATCCAGACCGAATACAGTTTTTTTTCCATGGGTTCCATTATTCTTTCATATCCAGGTTCTTGTTTTGCTAAGGTTTCCAGTTGTTCCAGCGGAGTTTGTTTATATACACGTTGTTTTCTTCTGAGTAACTTTTGGATGTTTTGGATATTTTTTGTTGCAAAAAGGACCCTATTATTACTTGATATATTGTTTTCTCATTGAACTGGTGATAATTTCCTCCATATTACGTTTTGCCTCTTAACATTCAACATCATACCGTTGTTCTTTTTGGTACATTTGATTTATTTTTGCAAGGCTTTGTTGATAATTTGTTGACGGTTTATCAGAGAAGGCACCAACGAGTCCTCCACATTCAGAACTATCTTGTGGGTTGGAGGTTAACATAAAATTGTTAATGACAGTTTGAATATTTAAGCTAGAAGTAGCATGTTCAACTCATAGTTTCTCTTGTAATAGAGCATCCAACGTATTCCACTATTCTTTTATTTATGAACTTGCCAAATAGTTAACCCAATCAGCTGCTGAGCGCAATACCCCGGGTAGTTGTTAGGGTCAATCATATCACCCTGCTTATGTAATGAGGTGATAAGCGAGGTTGCCCAGCTCTGTGGGCAGTGACTACTATTTAAGACATCATTAAACAGTTTAACCAACTTGCCTATCAATGTACAATACATTGATTTAAAAATATTCATTCATTAGGTTATCTTCGCCTGGACTTTTGTCTGTTTTGAATTGTTTCATAAAAATGAGTATTTCATAAGCTGTTATTTACAAATATGCATCTCTTTGTTTAAGGGTTATAAATATTCCTTAAGTGGTTTGTTAGCTCCTCGGGATCAGGATAAACAAATTCTTTCTGGGATGAAATTCTAATGTTTTTTTAATAATTTCCAGAATTGTTTTGGTTCACACACACACACACACACACACACACACACACACACACACACACACACACACACACACATATTATATATAACTACGGTTATAGGGACCACACATTTTAGTTCGTTATAACCGTAGTTCGTTTTAAGCATATATGCAGCATATAGACAGCATATGAAAGGGACCTAAAAAACAGTTCGTTATATCCGCCAGTTCGTCATAAGAGTTTTCGTTATGAACGTAGTTTACTGTATTATTATTGTACTGTTAAAAGGCATTTTAACTTTTCATATGTGTCATTCACATTGTGAATATATCAAATGACCACCATTCTTTCTTCCACGCAATTGGGATACGATGATGCGCACGTAAAATACTTGCGCATCCGCGGTGACAACCGATGATATTCCATTTACATGTACCAATGCTTCGCTAAATAAGACCACTTCATTCAATGTACTTAATCCATCACCGTTTTAAACGCAGAATATTTGTATATTTAAATTTACGGCTAATCTAGTCAACAATCGCCAATGACTAGAGGTATGATGTAAATCCTACTGGGGAACCATGCAGGTAGCAAAGGTGCTGTAAGTCCCCATGGTCCCTGGTATGGTGGCCTAGTTATTGGTGATCTATTGGTGATCTGTCAAAATCTGTCTTTTTTATTGTTCTAAAACTAGTTTTACAATTATTACCTGTGATAATATTGCTGGATGTTGTACTGTCCTACGATGCATGTTTTTAATATATAATATAACTCAAGTCACGATATGGCTGAAATAGTGCCGATGTGACTTTAAATATTAACTCACCCACTCACTTCGCTAAGAGATCAAATGCGCCGACTGTTCTTTATTCAAGAATTAAACGAGTGGGAGATGTTTATCGTACAATAAAACACCGCAAGGAGAATAAACCACAAAATGGCGCATCTAAATCCGTTATCGGAGAAATAGTTTCTTTAAATTTGTAGAGTAAGTGAGTAAGTATGGTTTTACACCGCTTTTAGCAATGTTCCAGCAATATCACGGCGGAGGACACCAAAAATGGGCTTCACATTGTACCCATGTGGGGAATCGAACCCGGGTCTTCCGCGTGACGAGCGGACGCTTTAATCACTAGGCTACCCCACCGCCCCTTAAATTTGTAGAACATTTGAATGTTGTTACTTGGAAGAAATATGGCAAGATGATGTCAACTATCCCTGGTGCCCAGGCTAATCCCAAAAACATTCAATCCACGGTGCCAGTGTCACCACAGTCACAAACTTGTCCGAGGCTGGCGTTGGTTCCCTACGAGTTATGTTTGTCTCTCAGGTGAGGTGAGGTGAAATGGGGTTTAACGTCGCGTCCAAGATTATTGCACTTATATAGCGACGTGCATGCACGTGTATGTGGTTGTGTGGCTGCTTGTACTTGTCCGGACTGATGCCGATTTATAGTGCTAGCTCACTGAGATACCATGCTGCAGTTTAACATGAATACCCCACTCGGACACAGTATACTGACTCCGAGACGACCAGTCCTCGTTTTAGCCCCTTAATGCCGAGCGCCAGACAGGGTAACAAGAAGTACCATCTTTTAACTCTTTTGGTATGACGCGGCCGGGAATCGAACCCCGGACCTTCCGCTCTCCGGGGGGACGCTCTACCAGTAGATCACGGAGGCGGTCGTCTCTCAGGACAAAAGAATAAGCAATCCTTGAAAAGTTTCATAACCACACACATGTCCATCTGTTACTCATGTAACAATATACAACAGTCAATGGAACCGGTCGCTGTTGCTCTTCCTCCGCCTTGTTCGTCCCACGTCGACGCCAATTCACGTTTTAAGATATTTTATGTGAGGCAAGAATATTTAAGTGCCTTTCAAAAATAAGCCCCAAGGACTTGGCCCCTATGAAACTGAGTACCAGAAAGAAGACCCGGCGTAGAATAGGTCTTCAACTATTATGTCGTACTCCCCCGTGAGTATACGGGATAGAATAGGTCTTCAACAACCCATGCTTGCCGTAAAAGGCGACTATGCTTGTCGTAAGAGGCGACTAACGGGATCGGGCGGTCAGGCTCGCTGACTTGGTTGATGCATGTCATCGTGTCTCAATTGCTAGGATTGATGCTCATGATGTCAATCACTGGAGTGTCTGGTCAAGACTCGACTATTTATAGATAACTGTCATATAGCTAGAATAGTGCGGCGTTATACAACAAACAAACAAACAAACCAGAAAGAACTGTTTCTGGGTCTTTGTGTGGTTCATGCTTTCTATAGACATTTTGAAGTCGATACCAAGCGACAATTAATGCATTTTGTTTGGATACAATTGAAGCTGTCGCTCAATAGTGTGTATATTTCAACCACGACAAGAAATATTAAAATTATCCACAAAAAGGCGAGCTTCTCTTCTAAAAAGCTTACAACTTTTGAAAGACTGCATTTTCATTCTCAACAATGCGACAGAAAAAATACTATCTTGTGAGACACCATGAACCCGATTATAAAAAAAATCATAATCATGTAAATCCAATACAATGCCTTGCTTCCTGGTAAGAATCATAGGGTTTCTGAAGATTGAAAAATATTGATGCTACGTGTTGTTTATTTATAATACCATTCTCAACAATATACTTATATACTGAACCAAATTAAAAACTTCACAATCCTAAATTTTTAACATTTTGACCAGTTATCACTGTGGGCCCTTATTGTGTATTTAAACAGTAATGGCCACGCATTGTCTTCAGATAACACCCGTTTTTGTGCAGGTGAATCGATCAAAATCATGTGCACAGCACTTCAGTGGCAAAAGTGGTTTTTCACGTGCAACTGGTCACTTGGCCATAATACCGCGACGTCACATGCAGAGGATCGTCAGATTGTCTTACGTCACCTCCGTATCCGATTTTTGACGGCTACATCAACCAGAAATGAACTGATTAGGGATAGACTGAGTGCGCAAACTGTTCGAAACCGCCTGAGAACTGTTCACCTTCAAGCACGACGGCCATACTGCGGGCCGATTCTGACGTCAACGTCAATTGTGGGCACAGCGACACTTACGATGGACTCGTAAGGAATTGGAATCTAGTTGTCTTCAGTGATGAATCCCGATTTAATCTTCGATTTGCTGATGGTAGGGCGAGGGTGTGGAGGCGCCGTCATTAACGTTACGCCCAGTGTCGTGTACAGGAAGTTGACAGATTTCGAGGCGGAAGTGTCATGGTGTGGGGTGCTTTCTGTGGCAATGCACGTTCCAGATTTCTTGTCATCCGTTGCAACCTCAACGCTGCTGCTTACCGCGACCAGGTACTGGCACCAGAACTTCTGCCTTTTATGGCAGCACATGGACCCGGTTTGATCTTCCAACACGACAATGCCAGACCCCACACAGCAATTTTGACAAGGAATTTCATTCAGAATGCGGGAGTCAACGTCATGGACCGCAATCCCATCGAACACGTCTGGGGTGCTCTTGGCAGAAGTCTGCGCACTCTCCAGAACCAACCACAGAATTTGCAAGATCTTGGCACCATTTTGCAGCAACAATGGCGTCGTCTTCCCAATCATGTGTTCACAAGCATCACAAGGTCCATGCGGAGGCGTTGTGTGGCAGTTGTCAACGCACATGGTGGCCATTCTTGCTACTGAACTTGTGTGACATCAGATTCTCGTGCTTGGGACTTATGATTTAAACTGTTGATGTTATTACCGAATACCGTAGGTGCTTGGAACAAAATAAACCAAACCGCGACAACGCGACCGTGCGACAAATGACAAAAATGTCACGTTATTACTTGTTTTGTAAGGTCAACGATACGACAACGCGACAATGTCCCTTCTAGGATTCCATACATACAGGCATATTTGCTGGATCTGTTGCCGTTGTGGAATATGCAATAAAATATTAATAGCAAATAAATATATAAAAGTTTGCTGCCCTGAAAACCTCTAAAATGAGCTTTTTATTGCTCCTTTTGTGCTACATCACTACACATGACTCAGGGAACAGGCATGGATGTGACGTCACTATACATGACTCAGGGAACAGGCATGGATGTGACGTCACTATACATGACTCGGGGGAACAGGCATGGATGTGACGTCACTACACAAGACTCAGGGAACAGGCATGGATGTGACATCACTACCCATAACTCAGGGAACAGGCATGGATGTGACGTCACTACACAAGACTCAGGGAACAGGCATGGATGTGACGTCACTGCAGATGACTCAGGGAACAGGCATGGTTGTGACGTCACTGCACATGACTCAGTGAAGAGGCATGGTTGTGACGTCACTACACATGACTTAGGGAACAGGCATGGATGTGACGTCACTACACATGACTCAGGGAACAGGAATGGTTGTGACGTCACTGCACATGACTCAGGGAACAGGGATGGATGTGACGTCACTGCACATGACTTAGGGAACAGGCATGGTTGTGACGTCACTACACATGACTCATGGAACAGGCATGGATGTGACGTCACTATACATGACTCGGGGGAACAGGCATGGATATGACGTCACTGCACATGACTTAGGGAACAGGCATGGATATGACGTCATGAAACCCAGACATGAAAGAAAGAAGCTCACGGTGTCGGTCGTGCTTTGAAGTCAAATGTCGATTCTTTGTCGGTTTGGCTTGAGACACACAACAAAACAAATGAACAAATGCTTGAATCCAGTTTTTTTTTTGCAAAACAAAAATTACACATCAAGTTTTACTTTTTGTGACATGCATCTACTTCCGACTTACTTGACCTTGCGTTGGTGTGTCAATTTTGATCAAGGTCACAGATCTCAAACTTGAAGCGACGGTCCCTAAAAATGAGATAATTGTATGAAACACATTAATATTTATGTATGTACGTTTCCTCAGTTTAATCTGCGAAATATACACGAAAATTGAGAATATATTTAAGAACAGTAATATATACACACAAAAGTAATTGAACATCTTCTATTTATTTTAATGTGGTTTACCCATAGACAGGTCACTCTGAATTCGATTTTCGTACAATAAATTAAATTCCAGTAGTGACGGATTTTGCTATATAAATATACTTACATATAGGGGATTTGTATGTTTATTTACTGACCAATAACTAGGATCTAACTCATAGCTCCAACCGTGTCGCCACCTTATCTTGTCAATGTCGCATCATAGTTTCATGTTGTAGCGATGTCCCACACATAGTTTCACAAGTTCATACTGAAATATGGAACGAAGACAACTCACTCTTCCTTGTTCTCGTGGTAGCCGTCGACGCCGCGCATGACTTTCCCGGAAGGCACAACGTAGTCCATGTGCTCGTCGAAGTTGTTGACGTAAGCCGTGAAGTAGCAGGACCCAGTTATGTAGCCTGCGTTGAAGCATTTGATAATAATAATAATAATAATAATAATAATAAGAAGAAGAAGAAGAAGAAGAAGAAGAAGAAATGTAGATAATACATGGAATTTAATGAGGCTGCCCAACGCATTGTCAGTTGATGCCCAGCTTTGGAACAAACGCAGTGTAATAATAATAACAACAACAACAACAACAACAATAATAATAAATTATCATCTTATCTTAAAATGCACTCTGAAAATCTTGAATCCAACATGGCTGCCAAACCATGTGACCAAAGATCAAGGTCAATTAACATAAAATGTCAAGTACCTAGAGCAGAAGAAAAAATGTAAAGTTTGACAGTTATTGAGACCCATCAGGAAATAAGGGAGCTTGTGGGTGAAAACAGTACATTTTGATTTCTAATTATATTTTAGAATTAAATACAATTTTGTATGCATTGCGGAGATACATGGCATCACACATTTGGACTAATTTTCTGCAGAATCCCATTGAAATAATAAATGTTGTTGTAGTTGTTGTTCTTGTTGTTGACTGATTAAAAGAAAGTAGATATGTATGCTGAAATGTTTTGAAATAATGTTTTTTATTACATTTCGAACTAACAAGAGAAATATTAGATGTATTTGTACAGTTCCATACATGGCGATTTTTTACGAAGGTAAGTTGATGTCAAACGTCTTTCTTTATGAGGGGGCACGGGTGGCCCAGTCGTCTAAGGCGCCGCGATTCGCTGTGCAGAGTTGCGTCCCTTGGGCACGCCAGAAACCTATGATTGTGGGTTTGAATCCCGGTTCGCCCCGATTTGTCAGCACCATACACGTGCTCGTGGGTTTCAGCGAAGTGGTAAACGTCTGAGACCTGCATCACTTCGGGCTTTCCTCCCACATTAAGCTGAAACGCCGTGATATAACTGGAATACTATTAAAAGCGGCGTTAAACCCAACTCACTCTCTCACTCACTTTCCTTATGACGGCACTACAAAACTGTATCCTAGGGTGCGTTGCAAGCCACGAATCGCTTAGAGAAAGCAAATTAATCGCTCAACCCGGGGTCAGCATCGGTTTGAAGCGCTTGCGCGTTATTCCAAAATGGCGGCGCAACTATCGCTCACATGCTCAAATGTAGAACGTAATAGAAGAGGCTTGGTGACGAGCTGTTGAAATTTATGACTACTTTGAAGATGTGGAGCAGACTGAGGATGATGGAGTGTTAGCTACCTTTGCTAATTTCCCTGTTGATCTAGTCAAGAATTTCTTGTTCCGCTGTCAAACATCAGCCGAAGCGATCTCAACCAGCGATTGTTTCGCTTGCAAGTGGCTGAAGTTAGGCACTGTTGGAAGGAGAATCGCTGTACATAGCCTGCAAGCGGTTGGCGCTTTGCAACGCACCCCAAGTACCCATAAGGTCCCTTTTTTCTCCTGGCGGTTCATAATTTGATTCGCGGTTGCGGATCATTAGGGGTAATATGTCTTCACAAATGCAATCTCATTAAAATCACATCTTAGTTCTCGCTACCGCTAAACAAAGATCTGAGGACATCCCATTGTCACGTCAGACCGACCTTGCGCGAACTTTGACCGACCAATGGAATGACCAATCAGAAGGCAGCTTCCTCGTGCTTTACGGCAGAAATTTCAAATTGGAGACTACGCTTCGAAAGATATTTTGACAAATTCTCGATTACAAATTTGAAACCTGAACAAAAAAAAACACATGCTGGAATGGTCTAGATTGTAAGGATTCAGTCGTTAAACCCGTAACTATCGTTCGGAGTACCCTATGTTAAAGTGTTTGAGATTGCATGATTAGAAATCACATTCCGACTGTCACTTTCATAATTTGGTAAGCGACGTACTGATTGGTCGGATGAAAGGTCGTTCTGACGTGACCCTTAATGGGATGTCTTCAGATCTTTGTTTAGCGGCAGCGAGAACTAAGGTCTGTATTTAATGAGATTGTCACAAATGAATTTTTTTATAAATTATTTGCATCCCATTTAATCACTGGTCATTGTGTATGTATAACGGCGGTTACAATAGGGCGCTTCGTCTATTTCTCCTTTGTCTCTAATCGCATACAAGAGAGGTCCCAAGACTGAACAGGTTGCCTAGGCTACCGTGCTTAGGGGGTAAACCGCTTTCAACTGATTCAGTTTGAATCCTGGCATTAGCTGTGGTTACTGTGTCCCCTCAGTCTTTCACCACATTTAAAGGGGGGCTACCGTCCATGGCTTGGTGCCAATTTCATATCCAGGTCGCCCTTGTTCAAAACAACCTTAGCACTACGACTGCCGTAAGTCTATATTGATGTATGGGAGTTACGATCACCTAAGCGCTAAGGTCGCTTTGTACATAGGGTAGGGTAAGGTGTAGTATTTAGTGCCACGTGTGAAACTGGGACATAATAATTGTGTAATTGAGTGACTTGAATCCAACTTGCTACAATCGCCATTAGGTCACATCGCGTTGAACATCCACGATTACCTGGTATTTCGCAGCAGTAGAACTTGAAACGACGATCTTCATAATGGTTGTCATGGACACTACTTATTCCCGCTACGATGCCATCACGTGCACATTGGAAGGTCAGGGGTTGATCAAATTCATTTACGTAGCCTAGGAAATGGAAAGTAGCCATTATTGATGGAACAGATAACGACAATACGTTGTTTCGATCCTCGATAATTGAGAAAATGAACACAGCTTTTTCTTTTTAATTAAACAAATATTCAAGTCAAAAGAGATTATTGTCGTACAGATTTCCTTTTCGACCCGACCGCCTCCGTGGTCTAGTGGGAGAGCGTCCGCCCGGAGAGCGGAAGGTCCGGGGTTCGATCCCCGGCCGCGTCATACCAAAAGTCATTACCCTGTCTGGCGCTCGGCATTAAGAGGCTAAAACAAGGACTGGTCGGCTCGGAGTCAGTATACTGTGTCCGAGTGGGGTATTCATGTTAAACTGCGGCATGGTATCTCAGTGGGCTAGCACTATAAATCGGCATCAGTCCGGACTAGTACAAACAGCCACACAAACACACACACGTACATGCACGTCGCTATATAAGTGCAATAATCTTGGACGCGACGTTACACCCCATTTCACCTCACCTCACCTTTTCGACCCACTTACCATTTTGTTGTCAAATTTGGCAGATTTGTAGCAAGTGTGTTTTTCCAAATGATTGTTTCGTTCCCCCCTGTCAGTTCACTATGGAAAGCAGCAACTCTTGCCCCGACTGACGCCATTGACACCACTGCTCTCTTTATGACAGAATCTTGGAACCAGTCTGGTTGTAATCTGTCTATTGAGGCTTACCTGTCTATAGTAACTTACCTGTCTATAGTAACTTACCTGTCTATAGTAACTTACCTGTCTATAGTAACTTACCTGTCTATATTGGCTTACCTGTCTATAGTAACTTACCTGTCTATAGTAACTTACCTATCTGTAGTAACTTACCTGTCTATAGTAACTTACCTGTCTATAGTAACTTACCTGTCTATATTGGCTTACCTGTCTATAGTAACTTACCTGTCTATAGTAACTTACCTCTCTATAGTAACTTACCTGTCTATAGTAACTTACCTCTCTATAGTAACTTACCTGTCTATAGTAACTTGCCTGTCTATAGTAACTTGCCTGTCTATAGTAACTTACCTGTCTATAGTAACTTACCTGTCTATAGTAACTTACCTCTCTATAGTAACTTACCTGTCTATAGTAACTTACCTGTCTATGGTAACTTACCTCTCTATAGTAACTTACCTGTATATAGTAACTTGCCTGTCTATAGTAACTTGCCTGTCTATAGTAACTTGCCTGTCTATAGTAACTTACCTGTCTATAGTAACTTACCTCTCTATAGTAACTTACCTGTCTATAGTAACTTACCTCTCTATAGTAACTTACCTGTCTATAGTAACTTGCCTGTCTATAGTAACTTGCCTGTCTATAGTAACTTACCTGTCTATAGTAACTTACCTCTCTATAGTAACTTACCTGTCTATAGTAACTTACCTGTCTATAGTAACTTACCTGTCTATAGTAACTTACCTGTCTATAGTAACTTACCTCTCTATAGTAACTTACCTGTCTATAGTAACTTGCCTGTCTATAGTAACTTGCCTGTCTATAGTAACTTGCCTGTCTATAGTAACTTACCTGTCTATAGCAACTTACCTGTCTATGGTAACTTACCTGTCTATAGTAACTTACCTGTCTATAGTAACTTACCTGTCTATAGTAACCTACCTGTCTATAGTAACTTACCTCTCTATAGTAAATTACCTGTCTATTGTAACTTGCCTGTCTATAGTAACTTGCCTGTCTATAGTAACTTACCTGTCTATAGTAACCTACCTGTCTATAGTAACTTACCTCTCTATAGTAACTTACCTGTCTATAGTAACTTGCCTGTCTATAGTAACTTACCTGTCTATAGTAACTTACCTGTCTATGGTAACTTACCTCTCTATAGTAACTTACCTGTCTATAGTAACTTACCTGTCTATAGTAACTTACCTGTCTATAGTAACTTAACTGTCTATGGTAACTTACCTGTCTATAGTAACTTACCTGTCTATAGTAACCTCTCTATAGTAACTTACCTGTCTATTGTAACTTGCCTGTCTATAGTAACGTGCCTGTCTATAGTAACTTACCTGTCTATAGTAACTTACCTGTCTATAATAACTTACCTGTCTATAGTAACTAACCTGTCTGTAATAACTTACCTGTCTATAGTAACTTACCTGTCTATAGTAACTTTCAAAATATTTCCCGTATTTAAAAAATGGAGGCTCCCAAAATACAATCTGACCTCGACGATGTCAGACACGTGCATTTAACTAACAGTGGGGTTAAGTTTGGTATTTCCCAGATATTCTCACAATGTTCACATCGATTTTCTCCCAATACCGATTGTCATATCACATTCGGATGTGATCTTTCGACCACTGCGTTTATCTACGTTCTATTGTTTTTTTGCGATTTATCGCGTAGCTGTCTTGTATTTGTCTATAGAAGATAGCTACGCTATACATCATAAAGAACATTGAAGAACGAAGCGTGGTTTATTTCACGATAAAACATTGTTCTATCATGACGTCATTTCTGGAGATTCGAACACGCGCTCGCAACTCGTGGTCGTTGTTTATCGTTCAATAAAACACTGCAGGGAGAATAAACCACTCGGGGCTGTACGTCTCATGGTTAGTTACCCCCACTCGTTGTTTATTTCTTAAATAAACTAGTGTCCAAAAGAAACGATACCACCTGTTTGCAACGACATAAAAGAAAAACTAAACAATGCAGAAGTTTAGGATTGGTGTTATGCTTTTGAGAAATCCTTTCACAACATCTGTACAAAATTTTCATTTCAATAAAATCTGTACAACCAATATGACAAGCCTTTAAAGATGGGTGGGGTCGAAAAATGAACATTTCGTTAGAGCACTGATCACAGAAACAACGGGAAATGTCACACCACACGTCTCAAAGTCAAGTCAGTAGCGGGTATGTCATCCGTGAGCATCAATACATGCCAGAACACGCCTACGGACTGATGACGTTGGGAGTGATGCGTTGCCATTCCTCGAGGAGACATCGTTCCAAGTCCTGGACGTTGACTGGAGGCACACGGCGACGTCGGATTTGCCGATCGAGGTGGTCCCATAAGTGCTCGATGGGATTCATGTCCGGTGAACATGCGGGCCATGGCAAAACCTGTACGTTGGCGTTGGCAAGGAAGTTCTGTGTCAATCTTGCTGTGTGTGGCCTTGCATTGTCATGTTGGAAAAGGAGTCCACGAGGCTGTTGCTGAATAAAGGGCACCACAACAGGCCGTAGGATGTCATCAAGATAACGCTGTGCATTCAGGTTTCCACGAATTACGACAAGCATCGTTTTGACGTCACCATATATGCCACCCCAAACCATTAACCCTCCACCTCCAAACGGCCGGACCTGTTGGATACAGTTAGGCGCCAAACGTTCACCAAATTGTCGGTATACAAGCTGCCGTCCATCGTTTCTGAAGATGAGGAATCTGCTCTCATCCGAGAACATAACACCTGCCCAGTCCCGCCGTTGCCAACGTCGAACTCGCCTGGCCCAGATCAGTCTGTTGTTCCGGTGTCGAGGCGTCAGGAGCGGTCCGCGGTAGGGATGACGTGGCCGGATACCATACTGCCGTAGTCTCCTGTAGACGGTCTGTCGACTGATCCTGTGTCCCAGTGCTGTAGCCGCCGTGGACGTCGCTGTTACGGTGCGGTTCCTCAGGTGTAATACCCGGATGTAACGATCTTCACGGGGCGTGGTTACTCGTGGTCTTCCACTCCTGGGCCTGTCTGACGTCTGACCTGTCTGGCGTAACCGCTGCATCAACCTGGTGATAGTGATGCGTGCGCAGCCCATCCTTCTGGCGACGTCGACGTGTGACGCGCCTTGTTGGACCATTCCAACGGCTCTCTCTCTCTCGATGGCTGTCAAACGTGGCATATCTTGTGTTCTTTTTGTTGCTGTGATATCAACGTGTCTGATCAGCCGTTTTATACAGTTTTTCTGCACGTGCAGAACATGCTAGAGAGGGAAATGTCACTTTCACGAAATTAATTTTTTTCCCGGAAGCGATCACGTGTTCCCGGTATTTTTTATCGACTATGCTGTGTTTGGGATGTGCAATACGAATTGGCATGTTTTCATACTTGACAATTCACTTAGTAAAAAACAATTTTGAAAATAAGTTGGTATCGTTCCTTTTGGACACTAGTTTAGTAGCTTACCTGTCCATACTGGCTTACCTGTCTATAGAAGCTTACCTGTCCATTCACAATTGGTCATCTTAGCATCGTGATGAGGCGGGGCTCTACAGGAGAAATCCCACACTCTGTCTTCAAAGTGGTTGTCATGGCTACTGATTACATGGACCAAAGAGGTTTCGAGTGGACATGTGAAGGTGAATGCTTCATCGAATTGGTTGATCCATGCTGTCACGTGACAGAGGAGTAGGCAGAGAACAAGCTGGAGTAAAGAGATCAACGGTGTTGAAGTAATCGTGCCTGGACAAAACACACAAGTGGTCAATAGCGTCAGCAATTTTTAAAGACATCGTGTAAGACAAAACACACAAGTGCTCAATAGGTCTAGGTTTCAGCAATTTTTAAAGACATCGTGTAAGACAAAACACAAAAGGGGTCAATAGGTCTAGGTTTCAGCAATTTTTAAAGTCATCGTGTAAGACAAAACACACAAGTGGTCAATAGCCTCAGCAGTTTGGATAGTCGTCGTGTCTAGACGAAACAAACAAGTGGCCAATAGCGTCATCAATTTGTAAAGTAAACAAAACACAAAAGACTTCGCAGTCAGTAGCGAGAGCACACTCCTTCTGAGGCGATGTGACAATGTGTCGGTCATATGGAGTTTACATTCCTGGATTGCCCATAAGTAGTTGTAAGATGCAAGATTTCTTTGGTCCATGTTTCTGGCACAGGTCTCATAAACTAATGTATGAAGAGAGTTTTACGATTTACAAACGTGTTTCATATAACGCTAGTTAAATGAACGCACCCACAATCATGACGATGACCATTGCAACCTAAATATGTGGTACGTAAAACATAACCGACCTTCCCCAACGATTCCATTGCACCTTTTAAACACAATGCATTTAGTCTGAGTATATAACATCTGGTAAGGGCTGGATTCCTCCTGTCTAGTTGATAAGGGATTAGGCCATACTGCGACATGCATATATTCTTATATAATAGGTGTAGCTTTCAAATCTTATCAGTAATTGCACCAGGATAGGTTTTGATTTTCGCAGTTATTGTAATGGGATTCCAGATTTGGAATATATTTCTGTCATGTCATGCCCTGTCAGAATTCTGTCGGAGGACAGCCCACATGCAGGTCCTATACGTTTACAACCTTGGAGTATATTTTTGTCGTGTCATGCCCTGTCAGAATTCTGTCGGAGGACAGCCCATTTGCAGGTCCTATACGTTTACAACCTTGAAGTATATTTCTGTAATGTCATGCCCTGTCAGAATTCTGTTGGAGGACAGCCGGTTTGCAGGTCCTATACGTTTACAACCTTGGGTATATTTCAGTTATATCATGACCTGTCTGTATATTGTTGGAGGACAGCTCAGATGCAGGTCTTACACGTTTACAACCCTTGAGCATATTTCAGTTATATCATGACCTGTCTGTATATTGTGGGAGTACAGCTCAGATGCAGGTCTTACACGTTTACAACCCTTGAACATATTTCAGTTATATCATGACCTGTCTGTATATTGTGGGAGTACAGCTCAGATGCAGGTCTTACACGTTTACAACCTTGGAGTATGTTTCAGTTATATCATGACCTGTCTGTATATTGTGGGAGTACAGCTCAGATGCAGGTCTTACACGTTTACAACCCTTGAGCATATTTCAGTTATATCATGACCTGTCTGTATATTGTGGGAGTACAGCTCAGATGCAGGTCTTACACGTTTACAACCTTGGAGTATATTTCAGTTATATCACGACCTGTCAGAATGTTGTTGGAGGACAGCTCAGATGCAGGTCCTACACGTTTACAACACCTGGAGTATATTTCAGTTATATCACGACCTGTCAGAATGTTGTTGGAGGACAGCTCAGATGCAGGTCCTACACGTTTACAACACCTGGAGTATATTTCAGTTATATCACGACCTGTCAGAATGTTGTTGGAGGACAGCTCAGATGCAGGTCTTACACGTTTACAACCTTGGAGTATATTTCACTTATATCACGACCTGTCAGAATGTTGTTGGAGGACAGCTCAGATGCAGGTCCTACACGTTTACAACCTTGGAGTATGCTTTGGGGTCATGCTAAACATGCTAAACATGCTATTCATTCGGAAGCTTTGGTGGGTATCGTTACTGATTCTCTGATGTTATCAAAAATTACACCATGACCGAGTGAGGTGAAGTTAAATGGGTTTAAACGTGGTGTCCAAGATTATAGCGACGTGCATGCATGCATGTGTGTGTGTGGTTGCCTGTTCTAGTCCGGACCAGTGCCGATTTTATAGTGCTAGCCCCCCGAGATACCATGTCATAGTTTAACATGAATAACCCACACACAGAAATCCTACTCCGAGTCGACCAGTTCTTGTTTTAGCCCCTTAAAACCGAGCGCCAGGCAGGGTCACAACAAAAACCATCTTTCAACGTCTTCTTGTATAACGCGACCGAGGAACGAACCCCGGACCTTCCGCTCTCCGGATGGACGCTCTACCACTAGAACACGGAGGTGATCTACACGATTACTGAACGATGCCAATTGCCAAATCACAAAATCAATCCTTTCTATTCCGGAAAGCTGTATGTGCACATTTCCTGTTTATTCAAATAGCCACTCATAACGAGGATCTAGTTGTTACCATCCTGGTTGTGTGACATCGAACCCGGACTGCGTTGATATGTGTTCATGCTGTAAACCACGTGTTTGTATTAAGCTTCAAGTGCTGCCGACCTATTCTGACCCAGGACCGCAAGACAACAGGTGAAATATTATATAAAAAGGCGTGACACATTATTTAGATAAGACATTAAATGTATCATATTTCTCTCCGCTAATCGCTTTGCCAGTATTTCTGAAGATGACCTCGGATATAACCTAGATAACTATGTTATGCAAATTTACACTGGCCCATAAGGGACATGGAGTTTTTCAATATTGTGATGTTTCACTTACTTTTATCATTACCTTTTGCAAATTAACACAATTTTTCATACAATATGTTATAAATCATGTATAAAAACAACCGAAACATGGAAAATGTACTTTCAAGTAGCTATTGAGTCGCTGAAATGTGAAGCGAAAATGTCAAAAACTAAAATGGAAATGTCAAAAACTAAAATGAAAATGTCAAAAACTAAAATGATTATACAGAAAACTATTTCCACCGCGGTGATAATATTTCCACCACGATGGAAATAGTTTTCTGTATAATCATTTTAGTTTTTGACATTTTCGCTTTTGTTTTTGACATTTTAGTTTTTGAGATTTTCGGTTCACTTTTCAGCGATTCAATATCTTCTTTAAACATCATTTATCAGATATTTGTAAGACAAATCGTGTTAATTTGCAAAAGGTTACGATAAATGTTTGTGAAAGATCAAAATATGTAAAAACAGACTCCATGTCCCTTATGGGCCACCGTACAAATTAGAATAGTTATCAGGATTTTCTTGGAATCTTTTTTTTGAAAACGGCCTCTCTTTAACACCGACCTCCAAAGATACAGCTGAGGTTGTAGCTGAGATCGCCAGACAATTCAATGTCGTCATCCAAATATAGCTCGTGTTGAGATATCCCGCGCTCTACGTCCAGCTGAACTTAACGCCAGGTCATTTTTTGTCAGAATGCGCTGACAATCACCACATTGGCCATATGTCTGAAAGTCATTTAATTGATCTGTAAACGTAGAAAGAAAAGGAAGTGGAAGAGTCCAGGACAAATACAGGAGCGACATAGGCCAGGGCCCACTTGCACAAAGTGATCTTAGCGCTAAGATGATCGTAACTCCCATACTTTAACATAGGCTTACAATAGTCTTAGCGCTAAGATCGCTTTGTGCAAGTGGGCCCTGGTACAGGCGATGAAGGGTAGTGGTGTACACCAAGTACAATTAAGGTGTGTGTGTGTGTGCGTGCGTGTGCGTGCGTGCGTGCGTGCGTGTGTCCCACTCAGACACAGTATACTGACTCCGAGCCGACCAGTCCTTGATTTAGCCCCTTAACGCCGAGCGCCAGGCAGACCAACACGTACCATCTTTAACGCCTTTTGGCATGATGCGGCCGGGGTTCCGCTCTCCAGACAGACGCTCTACCACTAGACCAGGAAGGCGGTCCATGTGAGATAGAGAAAGCAATTGGGAGGGAAGTCAAATAGCTATTGCGATGGAACAGTTGCTAGCCATAATTAGACATTCTACTATGACATTGAAAAATGCTTGATTCTGATTGATCAAAACAGGATTGAAATCAGGTATCAAATTCCATTTGATGCCTCCAAATTAACAAGCCTTTTCACACATAAACCGTACGTATGAGTACATCGATCAAGCAATAGCCTTCATGTAACAATGGGGGCGGTCGGGTAGCTGGACCCGCCGTGATATTGCTGGAATATTGCTAAAGCGGCGTAAAACCATACTTACTCACTCACTCACTCATGTAACAATGGCTGCAGATAACCCATCATACGTTCGATATCAGAACATCGGGTGATTTTGGCGACGATTTTGACATCTAAGACCTTAACCCCGACTGATTTGATGATAACATGAAAGAACTGAACGAAAGTATATCGTTTGAACACAAATCATACCGTTTATAAAACAGTAACTGTTTGTGACAACGTTATCGGTTCAACATTGGAAATAAAAGGTATCGAATCTGGTTAGAATTCCTCAAATTTGAAAACACAGTAGGTTTTTCGAGGCATTTCAATATGACTGTATTACTTTGAAACAAATCTGTTCAGAAAATAAATACAAAATATAGTTAATGTTAAAAAATTTAATTTGGAAATGTACACTCTCTCAAAAAAGAAACGCAACACCAGAGTGAAAATGTTAGAAAGCCCCAAGAATATGATAAGCACGTATACCATGTACACTGTTTATTAACGTAAGCGCCCAAACACACCAATTTTCGTGCACAAGGGCATTTTATTGTTACTTTTATCATAGTGAGCAAAATTTTTACGTGGCCCAAGCCTCATGCACGTGCAATTCATGGAAAGAGCAGTAGAAGTATGGGTTTATAAAAGCACGTGTTGATTAGCAATTCACTCTATCGTTTTCACCGAAAGACAAGGTCGAATATGCCACGGTGGAGTGCTGCAGATCGAAATATCGCAATTGGTCGTATTGAGGCCGGACAAAGCTTTGGAAACGTTGCCCGGCACCTCAATATTAATAAAACAACGATTTCCCGACTTTGGAGCCGATACACCCAGTTTCATGCAACTGAAGATCGCCCCAGAAGTGGTAGGCCAAGGGTTACCACACCACCTCAGGATCGATTCATCCGGGTCACCAACCTACGTAATCGGCTAGCCACACCTACCGTCACTGCAACATAGGTGCCAGGTTTGAGAACAGTGTCCGCACAAACAATTAGGAACCGTCTACGAGAGGCCGGTCTACGTGCAAGAAGACCACTTATTGGACCTGTTTTACGCCACGAACATCGACGCCAACGACTCAGGTGGTGCACCAACGTTCTGATATGGACCCTCAGAAACTGGAGGCGCGTCTGGTTTATTGACGAATCACGTTTTCTCTTTCAACGCCGTGACGGAAGACAGCGTGTCTATAGAAGAGGAAACTAACGTTTTGCCCCGAAATGTGTTCGGCAGGTCGACAGATTTGGTGGAGGGAGCGTCATGGTGTGGGGAGCCATGTGTTACAACCAGAGATCAGACTTGGTGATCATTTGTGGCAATTTGACAGCCCAGCGCTATATCAATGACGTTTTACAGCCTCATCTTCTGCCGATTATCGACCAACAGAGGGAGCTCTATCAACACGACAACGCCCGGACGCACACTGTTCATGCAACAGTGAATTTTCTCCAGAATTCTAACGTCAACCTGTTACCTTGGCCCTCACGATCACCAGACATCAACCCAATCGAACATCTTTGGGATTATCTGGACCGACGAGTACGTG